AGATGACAATTGAGCTCGTACAATTAGAAGATAATAGTAGAAGCTGATCGGCATGTCATGACAGTCGAGCAATCATATATACACTAATGATGTTTGTTGTTGGTGATCATCATTGTTAGTAATCAAACAGAGATATATAGTTCTTTAAATTTTAAAGTGCTCTACAATTTCATGTCTTTTAATCTCATTTGAAGAATAATGATTGATTTATAATTTTTTTTAAAATTATTTTTGATTAATTTGGGCGGTCTTAAATCATTCGATTAGATTTTCCGTATTGCTTTCTTTGATTATAGAATGTTCATTCGACATTAAATGCATTAATGAAGTATGAACTTCATAATCATATGCTTGTTAAATATTTCAAAATGATCTATTTGGCAACAATCATATAAGTTTCAAAGATCATTTGAAGCATTTGAAGCATTTAATTTGAGCTTATTTGAATAATGATTTGCTCACATATGATGTTGTTGGCTTTGACTGGTTTAGTTTAAAATTGCAAAAATTGGAGGTTGAATGGTCTTGCATGCAATTCTAAAAAAAATTCAATTAAAAAATTTCATCAGGATGGATTCATCATATCAACTAATAAATAATATGCTTCTTAATATCATATGATATGGCAATGAGTAACTAAATGATAGTTATGACACCAAACCAGCTTTAAGTTGGAAAGTGATGAAGTAGGATGACTTTGGCTTCTTCAATAATTAAATATAATGACTTTTTAATTATTATTATTTTTTTCTACTATAGCAACTAGATATGTAAATATGAAATTTTAGATGCTAAATATGCAAATGGCCAAATTTCCTTTTACTCTGTTTGAGATGTTGGACTTAATTGTTCATTCAATTCACAAAATGAAGGAGATCTTTTTTCTCATAAATTTGATTTTGAGTGAATACCTTAAATAAAACCTTAATCGAATTTCTAACAAAAGATAGATAAAATTATAGTTCTAATTCAAAAAATCAATTCCATTTGATTCTACAAATTGTTTCAATTATAAATTTGATTGAACAATCAATGATAGAAGTATTGATTTGATTCAATAATATGTTTTAAATAAATAATCGATCAAAGAATAAAATGTTGAAATTTAATTTCTGCAAATATCGTAGCTCCCGTAATTTATTTGTTCTCATTTATTATTGATACGACGCCAATAAATTTTCATAATACTGCAAGAATTTCGAAGCATGATACGGATTCCAAGATGATATTTTGAACAAGAAACGTTCAAATCTTGATAAAAAGTCATCTAGAGCTTCGATTTCAGCAAAATTATAGTCAAACTGACCGGCTCGATGAGACGGACCTAATGATATAAAAGCTAGTCCAATCCGAGTCAAATCAAGCTCAGATCAAGTCATTAAACCACCCTTAGAAGACTTCCAAAATTTAAATCACATTAAAAATATTATCATTTTCAACTTCATGAAATTGAAATATATTTTCTTCATGTATAATTTCTATCATAATTATGATGTTAAAATATTGTATAAATATCAAAATTTATTTTTTGGATATGTAAACCCATAATTCTCTTTGGTATGACGGTGTGTTCTCCTTTGTTTGGATTATATTTTTTATTTCCTCTTTGAAAATAGAGAAACTGTTGAGGGTCAACTTGTGAGTCTCATTATTATGATTTGAGATGTTTATTCTTCGCTGAAAAGAAGAAAATAGAGATCTTCTAGTTCAATAGGATTTAATTGAGTTATCATTGCTATTTTTGACTACTTGATAGAATCTGGGGAGACCCTTGAGGATATATAAAGTGATATTTTCAGTATCAATGGAAGCTCCAGCTATGAAATTTTGATCTGTGTAAGATATTGTGCGATAATGGTCTGATTTTTCATGGAGACATTGTTAAGCTTATTTTTTTAGATGAATTACTTTGAATCGGTTTATGTCCTGCAATTATTTTTTTCAGAGTTTTCAACATATCAAAGTTGCTATCTAAATTCAAAATATACAATATAATGATATACAATATAATGGTTGCTAAAAATGATTGAGAATATCTTTACTATAAAAATTTGATATATAAGCATCCAAGTACTATGAGCTGATTGGAAATAGTTGCACCAGATCCATTTGCTATCATTGAGGGTGGTTGAGGGGCAGAGCCATCAAGGAACCCCAAGAACCCATTTATTTTTATAGTTTTGATTATCTGAGATCTCCAAAACAGATAGTTGTCGGTACACAGAGAAATTTAATAGCCCTATTGCGAGACTAAAAATAATTGAAGCATAACCTTTCGGCTTAATATTTAGCCCAAAAGCACAATTAGTTCAAGTTTTGCTTGCTCTCTTCCACGCATTCATGCCATGCCCAGACACATAATGGGTGCCCTAAAGCAATATCTTCATATTTAGATAAACTCATTATTATAATCACTGAAAACCAATTGACATAAACATTTCCTGAAAAGAATCACATCTACCTATTAACATTAAAGTTGAAGCAAAAAAAAAATAATTAATGTTGCTTACAATAGATATATCACCATTTAATATTTTTCAACACACTAGACTTCATTTAAACTCCCAATCTAAGCCTAAGTTCTCCATTATTACTATAAATGGCATGTCATTCATCTCCCAATTACAAATTAAGCTATTTGATTTTAATATCAAAGGTTTATAAGCTGCCTCAGATTCATGGGAGAAATATACTTGGAGTCTCCATCCACCAGATACTTTCCGATTATTAAATTCGTCGCCTCGCTCGGGTGATACGGATCCCAAAACACATATTCGGATCGATTATCGCACATTGTCGACGTCGGCCCGCACGGAATGATTCCCGCAAACTTCCCTCCATTGCCGCAACACGCGGAGCTCGAAGTCTTGAATCCTTCAAAATTAAGAAAAAAATATGTTAATAACATTGTAATTTTACATCAAAAAATTGAAAAGAAAATTATATATGTTGATTGAGCATACCATATCTTTGATAATTTGTGATGATTTCGAAGACAAGGTCATATACATTTGCAAGGCAGAATTTGGCGCCGGGGAGATTTTCATTTAGCTCGGAGAGCAGGTCTCTTAGGCGGACATTGTATTGTCTCGCGAGCTCATTTGGGAGGCTGACGCATTCCGACTCTGTCAGCCTGTTTATGCTTCTTTGGTATGGAATGCACCCGATGGGCCCGACGTTGGCAATCACGAATTTTCGAGCATCCAATGTATATAGTCTCTGTTTAAGATATAAAAAAAATTAAAATTTGCATATCTTGTGTGCATTTTTGTCAACAATTGTTGCGAATCAAAATTTAATAATTTCATTTTTTTGATTTAATGTGAAATGAGAATAAAGTATTAAGAAACAATATTAATAATTGGTATTTTTGTCAACAATCAAATTTTAATAATTTCATTTTTTTTTTATTTAATGTGACATGAGAATAAAGTATTAAGAAACAATATTAATAATTATAAGAAATCTAACATTAATGGATATGAATAAATTATAAAGGTTTGCAAATATTAAATTTTATATACATTTGCTCCAACCTCCCACTTAACATCAAAATTATAGATCCCCCATAAACTCTAAACAAGGCCTATGTCTTTGCTGGAGGGAAAAATATTAAGTCTGGCGTGCAGATGTAAAATTACATCCAGATGTCAATAGCATTTTACCACATAGTCGAATCCGAACCATTGGCCCGGCTCAGAAAATATTATGGTTAGCAACAGAATGCCGGCGTTATCTTAAATTTCAAGCCTTCTTAAATGCATGGTAACAAATAAAAAATTATAAAATAAACCTTGTTGAAATAATGAAAATTACTTACGGTGAGTTGGGTTCGAAGGGTGTTGATGAGTTGATCCACAAAGGCATCAGGAGTCTCATTTAATCTCACCACAGCAGAGAGGAAGGGGAAGAGATAATTGTTAAGAAAATCATTGGACCCTATGGTCACTGAGAATATGGCATCCCTCATAAAAAATAGCTTTGCTTCGGATTTCCCCAATATTTTGTCTATTTCATGCCTGGTTATGTTGAAGTAATTAACCTGGATTTCCAGCCCCAGTCTATTTACCTGTCAACAAGTATTTTATAAAATATGAGGGCTAATATGTAAAATAACTGTCAATATGCATATATTGTATGATGAACCGAATAGGTAGATTTGATAGCTAAATTATGAAGAAAAATCAAAGGAACATACAAATATCTGTCCTGTGCCGTTCAGTATTCCGCCTCCGCCAGAAGCATAATTTACTCCATTCAATATAGATCTTCCAGTTGTGTTTGGAGCCAGAAATGGGGGTGAAAAGCTCACTTGTCCCAATTTCTCTCCTTCACAACCACCATCAAAAAACAAAGATAAATATTAAATATGTAAATTTTGAGTGCTATGTGTGTAAAAATGTAAGTTATGCATGTAAATGCACCAACAAAGTGAAATTTATGTAAATGTGTAAATTTCCTTTTGTTGGGGCATGTGAGGAAAGCAGAGGGATGATGCATGTAGTTACCAACAATATCTGCAATAGTTCTCCCATTAGTATACCGACCGGTCGGCTCCCCGCCGGAGGCGGCCAAATCAATCCCGTTCGGCCTTATATCCGCCTTCGACAGCGTCTGAAGAAAGTTATTGTTTCCGGCATCTACGAGAGAGTCTCCGAACACAAAGGATGCCGTCGCACGGCCGCTGACCCCGTCGGCGAAAACTCCAATTAGAGAGCAAAACAGCATGATTGCCAAAGCCATAGCCATAATGTCATCAGCTTATGGTGTTTAGCTTCTGCTATATATATGAAGGTGATGGGAGAATAATAGATGTATGGGAGCGTTTATAGGTGATTTGTTGGCCTCGTGATATTGTTTGGTTTGTGGTGTGAGGGGTAGTTTATCAACACTTAACTTCCTCTAATAATTTTGGCTGTTAGAACAAGCTAGCCAGTAAAGAGTAGATCACCTAAATTTATGCGAATTTTGGGGGGATTATAATTATTTTCTTGATCGGATTTGGTCAATTTGGTTGACTATGTTTGAGCTTTTAATGGTTCATGGAGGAAAAAAGATCATAAGCATTATTTAGAAGTTAAAGTATACAATTAATACTTCCATGATATTGTTTATGTTTTGCTGAATTTGAGGTTTTTTATTTTTAATTTTGTGATAATTACAAATATAACACTCAAAAGTTTGAATTTATTTATAAAATTAATATCCTATTGTTTGTGCGTACATATAACTAGGTGAAGATCTTGTAGTTGTGGAAGAAAGGTAGAGGAGCGGTAGATGTCTGTGAGGTTGACTCGGAGAAATTTTAGATATATTATCGTATTTGTGTATACAAACATAATGTTATCTTTTTGAATTATGAAACCTACATTTGTTCATGAATTCTATGATCAAATGATTGCGAGTTAGATTAATGCCATAAATAATTGTAAATTGTAATATTGGAGAAGAATTTAAAAACAAATGCAAGGGAGTGTTAGTTTTATGAACAGAAGTTTGGAGAGCCATGTATTAAATATAAGGGACATTTACATCTACCTTTTACATTTATACCACCTAATTTTTTCCACTACATCGCATAAATAAGATGGTAAATGCATGTAAAAAGTTGATGTTCAGGCGTTAGAGATGTAAATACAAAGGAATCAAGTGGTCAGCATGTAAATCTTTCTAAATTTAAATACTAGTATTAATTTGATATTTTCCTTGTACGTTCTTCGTCTGTGTGCACGTATGATTTCGGCATCATCAGTTACTATAGGTTTATTTTAGGCCTAATTATATAAAATCTTACATCATCTTATAACAGTAATATTTTTGCTAAGCTTCGGATAAAAATTGTTATTACTTTGCACATGTACCATGCTACCTGATTGACACGTTAATGAATTCAACGCATGGCAATTCTTCAGCACAAGTAACGTGGCATTTGTGTAATTTATGTATTTACGTCGTTCGGGGGTTGAAGGGTTAAGAATGTCAAAAAAATGCTTTCCAATAGGCTTAATGTAGAAGTTAAGGCTTAAATTGACATAATTGAGATTTATAGAATGCTCTTGCGTAGGCTAACGCCACTTGGCTGTGTTTCCATGGAATACCGTTTTTTTTTTTTTTTTGATGGGTATTTTTGGTTATTTTGTTTTGAAAAATTGAAATTGGGCATTGCTTGTATAGCATGTCTATATCCCAAGTTAAATTAATAAGACATCCAGACTGTTGGTATGACTCATATACGAGATAAGGGATAGATGTTGGAGCGAGCCAGCGGAGCGTAGTGGAAGTATCTATCCAATCGGGGGGAGTTTTGTTATGTGGGTTGGGGTACGGGGGCAACGCCCCCGCGGTACGGTATAGGGGTAATTTTGTAATTACATATTGTAGGCCATGGCTATATATATTTGATGTATTGTAACCCTGAGGGTATATTGTACTCTTTTTTCTAAATTAAAAGAAAAGTCACCACTCTGCTCCTGAGGACGTAAGCATCTTTGCTAAACCTCATAAAATCTTTGTGTTTTTTTTTCTGGATTTGTGTCAATTCTTATGTTTCTTTGCCCTAAAATTCTCAACAAAGGCCGAATCTAGTTAGCCATTCATGATCGACTTGAACTTATTTTGAGATTTCATGACATTCAGGATTAAATTGTGTAATAATTTCAATAATTAAAATTGATTTATGCTTTATTTGTCTATGCCAAGTGAACGGATACATAAACAACTTAAGCATGAAACTTAATAAATTGATTGAGTTTTCATATAAAATTTTTAATAAAATGGTTTTAAAAATATAAATAAATAAAAAATTGAATAAATTTTTAATTATTAATTAATTAATTTTCCCAAATATATATATATGTTGCGAGTAATTTTTTTTTTGTAATCAAATAACATAAATAGGAACTAGCGATGCTAAACGGGAGATGGAAAACGAGATTTGCAAGAAAAAGAGTATGATTCACGATTTAATATATTTTTATATGTTGATTAGAATTAATTTTATTGATTAATAATTAATAAATATATTATAGGTAATTTATTATATATAAATTAATGTGTAATTATTTTACAGTCAATAAACGTAATAAATACTTAAATCAATATAATCAATACACACAAGTAGTAAATATTTGTAAAACTGAGAATGAATTAAGTCAATTTATTTAAACTAAATTAATTAATAAAAATATATTAATAAAAAAATATATAATTAATAATAAATCTTAAAATATTATTGATATAATAATAATATTATTATTAAATTAATATTAATCAAACTAATTAATTAAGTTTTATTTAAATAACATATCATGCATTATATGAACTATTATCGAATTTTTTTCTAAAAAATAAATATTTATAATTTTATTCCGTTTTTTTCTAAAAAGTTATTTTCGATGTAAAAGTCTGACAAACATATTTAAAAATGATAAATTTATTATTTTTTTATTGAATATTGATGATATTAACTTTAAATTTTAAAATAAATTGAAAATGTAATCAAATATAAAGATTTCGATTTTTAGTATGAAATAAATTAAAAAAAATTAATTGTAGAACAAGATCTTTATTGGCAAGCAACAAAATCAGACATTAAGAGATTTTTTTCTTTCACAAACATGACTTGAACTTATTGAACTCTATTTATTTTATTTTTTCTTATTTCCATTCGAGTAAAAAATATATTTTAATCAAAATTACTTTTTGTCAAGTGATTTGTAGAAAAAGTTAAACGCGCTTAAGAACGCATTTGATTGCTTGGGCCTTGAGGCTAGAAAATATGCTTCTAAAAATAATGAATTTATTGAGTACAGGTCTGTTTTGGGCAGCTGCAGCTTATTGAATAATCTGCTGATAAATTTAAAGGTGCGGTGACTATTACAAATTTTTATTATTTTGAAAGAGACAGATCGTTGCCAATAAGCTCCTACTGCAGCTAGATACGTGCGATGTGAAAACGCTGTTTTCTGTGTTTTGAAAAATCATAAGTTGTAAAAACACAGTTTATCCAAACAGAATGGGTGATTTTCAAAACGCCACCGCCCCCGAACGGGCCTTACATTATTTGACTGTAACTCCATAAATCTCATCAAGAGATCCTCTCAAAATCTGCAAAAACTACTTTTACATAATTTATTAAAGAAAATCATCTCCTAAATATTTTGCTTTTCTTTTAACAATTGATAAAGTAGAATTTAAGAAGCGTTATTTGCCATTAAAAAAAACATAGTGTATAGCCAAAATACAGGCATGCATATTTAGGGAAAATTTTTATATGGGCAAGATATTAGAATCATTGGGCCTTGAATGCACATATCCTAAAGGTGATCGAGCTAAGCCCACCTGCCAAAATGGTCGAGCTAAGTTCATCCACCGAAATAATCGACACAAGCCGAGGCAAGCTCTCCACCGGAGAAAATAATCATTACATAAGAGTACATGAGCCAATCCTAATTTATGGTGCTGCTTGACACCTGCATTGCAATTTTTTCACCAAGACATCGCTGACAAGTATATTACCATATGTGATTTAATTTTATATTTCATTTTCTCTCATCTATACAAGAGATGTCAGAGGAGATAGAGGATGAGGCTCTAGATCTCTCTTTCTCTCTATAAAATTATACTCCCAATCTCTTTCTCTCTCTCTCTCTCTAGACCGAAAAACAGAGATCCTTTCTTTGAGTCATTTTCGACTATATGGGGATCCTGCGAATACATATGAGTTGTAGCAATACCTATATCATCTTCTCCCGTACCTTCCTTTTAAAAATATAGTCTTTATCTGATTGTATGAGCTCACAAATAATAACAGACCCATGTGTCATAAAAGAAATCAAAATATTGGATATGAAGAAAATGAATTAAATTTTTATTATGTAATCTGCGCATATTTCACTCAGGATTTTATTAAGTCGTCATGATCTATTCAAATAAAAATTTTCTAATTAATTTTAAAAGCATAATGTCACGTAACTATTTATTTTATTTTATTTTAGTTGAATTTTCATTCAGTTTAATAAAAAAAAAAAACAAGGAAACACAACAATTATAAAAAAGGGGAGGTTCTAATAAAAGGTAGATTTAGAACCCATATGGTTTATAGCATAATGTTCTCCATCTCATTGCAGCACTTCCACAATGTCAAGGAATCCATTTCAATCTGTTGTCTGATCTATCACAAAACCCTGGCCATCTTTACAACAACAAGCACAACTTCATCTTCAGTCAGTAAAGGAGACATGGCAGCAGAGGGAGAGGGGAAGAAAGCCGATGCAGAACCCATCTAGTTTACAACATCAATTTCGTAACTTCCATCCACATTAGCCTTTATCCAATCACATTTTCATCATAGGTGAGGTGACAAATTGAAGTTTAGGTTTTAGATATGTAAATGCATAAGAATTGAGTGGTGTCAAGGCAAATCTTCCTTAATTTTCTCAAAAATTAATATATTATATAAATAAATATTAAATGCTGGTATTAATCCAAATCTTATGTGCTCTAGAAAGTAGCTCTTCTTCCCTTTTATAATACGGCACTGTGGGCAAGGGCTTAGGTGCCATGTTGTTGAGATAATGATACTTCTCCAAATTAGAACGCATTTAATACTCTATGTTCCAAAAAATGCTCCTTTTAAACGTCAAATAAACCATTCTCTATGATTAGAATATATCACAATGTAATATGTCAATTTAACTTTTTATTCTACCAATAAAGTCAACTCTCTAGATTTGTAATGGCTGCGTTGAAATTATCTTTGGTTTAAAGATATTG